GACGGTCGAGTTATATTTTTGGCTGAGCCGATACTGACGGGCTCCAGGGAAACCCACGATAAAATGACCTTGTGTCGCATGCAACCCTCGTGGGGGGTGGCTAGATACTGATTCAAGCCGAGCTTGACTCGACTTGACGGTCGAACAGAATCTCTGTAAATATTTCAGGAAACTTTTGAGCAGAAAGGAACCCGGACGAGGTTCCGCCGAAGGGCAGAATCTCGTTCGGGGTGAATGACCTACCCGATCTCGTTTTTACGAGTTATACGGGCATATTTTTGGCTGAGCCTACGGGCCCAGGGAAACCCACGATAAAAAATGACCTTGTGTCGCATGCAACCCTCGTGGGGGTGGCTAGATACTGATTCAAGCCGAGCTTCTCGACTTGACGGTCGAACTCTGCTTTTGAGCAGAAAGGAACCCGGACGAGGTTCCGCCGAAGGGCAGAATCTCGTTCGGGGTGAATGACCTACCGATCTCGTTTTTACGAGTTATACGGGCATTTTTTTTGGCTGAGCCTACGGGCTCGGGAAACCCACGATAAAAATGACCTTGTGTCGCATGCAACCCTCGTGGGGGGGTGGCTAGATACTGATTCAAGCCGAGCTTCTCGACTTGACGGTCGAACTCTCTGCTTTTGAGCAGAAAGGAACCCGGACGAGGTTCCGCCGAAGGGCAGAATCTCGTTCGGGGTGAAATGACCTACCCTATCTCGTTTTTACGAGTTATACGGGCATTTTTTGGCTGAGCCTACGGGCTCAGGAAACCCACGATAAAAATGACCTTGTGTCGCATGCAACCCTCGTGGGGGGTGGCTAGATACTGATTCAAGCCGAGCTTCTCGACTTGACGGTCGAACTCGTTCTGCTTTTTTGAGCGGGCAAAGGAACCCGGACGAGGTTCCGCTGAAGGGCAGAATCTCGTTCGGGGGAGAATGACCTACCCGATCTCGTTTTTACGAGTCATACGGGCATATCGTTTTTGGCTGAGCCTACGGGCTCAGGAAACCCACGATAAAAATGACCTTGTGTCGCATGCAACCCTCGTGGGGGGTGGCTAGATACTGATTCAAGCCGAGCTTCTCGACTTGACGGTCGAACTTCTCTGCTTTTGAGCAGAAAGGAACCCGGACGAGGTTCCGCCGAAGGGCAGAATCTCGTTCGGGGTAAATGACCTACCCGATCTCGTTTTTACGAGTCATACGGGCATATTTTTTTGGCTGAGCCTACGGGCTCAGGAAACCCACGATAAAAATGACCTTGTGTCGCATGCAACCCTCGTGGGGGGGTGGCTAGATACTGATTCAAGCCGAGCTTCTCGACTTGACGGTCGAACTTTCTGCCTCTGAGCAGAAAGGAACCCGGACGAGGTTCCGCCGAAGGGCAGAATCTCGTTCGGGGAGAATGACCTACCCGATCTCGTTTTTATGAGTTATACGGGCATATTTTTGGCTGAGCTTACGGGCTCAGGAAACCCACGATAAAAATGACCTTGTGTCGCATGCAACCCTCGTGGGGGGTGGCTAGATACTGATTTCGCCGAGCTTCTCGACTTGACGGTCGAACTTTCTGCCTCTGAGCAGAAAGGAACCCGGACGAGGTTCCGCCGAAGGGCAGAATCTCGTTCGGGGTAAATGAACTACCCGATCTCGTTTTTACGAGTTATACGGGTATTTTTTGGCTGAGCCTACGGGCCCAGGAAACCCACGATAAAAAATGACCTTGTGTCGCATGCAACCCTCGTGGGGGGTGGCTAGATACTGATTCAAGCCGAGCTTCTCGACTTGACGGTCGAACTTTCTGCTTTTGAGCAGAAAGGAACCCGGACGAGGTTCCGCCGAAGGGCAGAATCTCGTTCGGGGAAAATGACCTACCCGATCTCGTTTTTTACGAGTTATATGGGCATATTTTTGGCTGAGCCTACGGGCTCAGGAAACCCACGATAAAAAATGACCTTGTGTCGCATGCAACCCTCGTGGGGGGTGGCTAGATACTGATTCAAGCCGAGCTTCTCGACTTGACGGTCGAACTTTCTGCTTTTGAGCAGAAAGGAACCCGGACGAGGTTCCGCCGAAGGGCAGAATCTCGTTCGGGGAAAATGACCTACCCGATCTCGTTTTTGCGAGTTATACGGGCATATTTTTGGCTGAGCCTACGGGCTCAGGGAAACCCACGATAAAAATGACCTTGTGTCGCATGCAACCCTCGTGGGGGGTGGCTAGATACTGATTCAAGCCGAGCTTCTCGACTTGACGGTCGAACTCTCTGCTTTTGAGGCAGAAAGGAACCCGGACGAGGTTCCGCCGAAGGGCAGAATCTCGTTCGGGGAAAATGACCAACCCGATCTCGTTTATACGAGTTCTACGGAATAATTTTGGCTGATTTACGGGCCCAGGAAACCCACGATAAAAATGACCTTGTGTCGCATGCAACCCTCGGGGGTGGCTAGATACTGATTCAAGCCGAGCTTCTCGACTTGACGGTCGAACTCTCTGCCCTGAGCAGAAAGGAACCCGGACGAGGTTCCGCCGAAGGGCAGAATCTCGTTCGGGGTGAATGACCTACCCGATCTCGTTTTTACGAGTCATACGGGCATTTTTTGGCTGAGCCTACGGGCTCAGGAAACCCACGATAAAAATGACCTTGTGTCGCATGCAACCCTCGTGGGGGGGTGGCTAGATACTGATTCAAGCCGAGCTTCTCGACTTGACGGTCGAACTCTCTGCGGACTTTGAGCAGAAAGGAACCCGGACGAGGTTCCGCCGAAGGGGCAGAATCTCGTTCGTGGGGAGAATGACCTACCTGATCTCGTTTTATACGAGTTAGGGCAGAATCTCGTTCGGGTGGGCGAACCCACGTTATACGGGCATTTTTGGCTGAGCCTACGGGCTCAGGAAACCCACGATAAAAATGACCTTGTGTCGCATGCAACCCTCGTGGGGGTGGCTAGATACTGATTCAAGCCGAGCTTCTCGACTTGACGGTCGAACTTTCTGCCTCTGAGCAGAAAGGAACCCGGACGAGGTTCCGCCGAAGGGCAGAATCTCGTTCGTGGGGGGGGGAGAATGATTCAACCCATCTCGTTTTTACGAGGTTATAGGTTCCGCCGAAGGGCAGATTTTTTGGCTGAGCCTATGGGGGCTCAGGAAACCCACGATAAAAAATGACCTTGTGTCGCATGGTGGGGGGGTGGCTAGATACTGATTCAAGCCGAGCTTTCTCGACTTGACGGTCGAACTTTTCTGCTCTTGAGCAGAAAGGAACCCGGACGAGGTTCCGCCGAAGGGCAGAATCTCGTTCGGGTGGCTGAATACTGAATGACCCCGGACGACCCGATCTCGTTTTTACGATCTCGTTTATACGGGCATTTTTTGGCTGAGCCTACGGGCTCAGGAAACCCACGATAAAATGACCTTGTGTCGCATGCAACCCTCGTGGGGGGGTGGCTAGATACTGATTCAAGCCGAGCTTCTCGACTTGACGGTCAAACTTTCTGCCTCTGAGCAGAAAGGAACCCGGACGAGGTTCCGCCGAAGGGCAGAATCTCGTTCGGGGAAAAATGACCTACCCGATCTCGTTTTTACGAGTTATACGGGCATTTTTGGCTGAGCCTACGGGCTCAGGAAACCCACGATAAAAATGACCTTGTGTTGCATGCAACCCTCGTGGGGGGTGGCTAGATACTGATTCAAGCCGAGCTTTTCGACTTGACGGTCGAACTCTCTGCCTTGAGCAGAAAGGAACCCGGACGAGGTTCCGCCGAAGGGCAGAATCTCGTTCGGGGAAAAAATGACCTACCCGATCTCGTTTTTACGAGTTATACGGGCATTTTTGGCTGAGCCTACGGGCTCAGGAAACCCACGATAAAAAATGACCTTGTGTCGCATGCAACCCTCGTGGGGGTGGCTAGATACTGATTCAAGCCGAGCTTCTCGACTTGACGGTCGAACTTTCTGCCTCTGAGCAGAAAGGAACCCGGACGAGGTTCCGCCGAAGGGCAGAATCTCGTTCGGGGTGAATGACCTACCTGATCTCGTTTTTACGAGTAATACGGGCATATTTTTGGCTGAGCCTACGGGCTCAGGAAACCCACGATAAAAATGACCTTGTGTCGCATGCAACCCTCGTGGGGGTTGGCTAGATACTGATTCAAGCCGAGCTTCTCGACTTGACGGTCGAACTCTCTGCTTTTGAGCAGAAAGGAACCCGGACGAGGTTCCGCCGAAGGGCAGAATCTCGTTCGGGTGAATGTTACCTGATCTCGTTTTTACGATTTATACGGGCATATTTTTGATCCTACGGGCTTTTAAAACTCGACCTTGTGTCACATGCAACCCTCGTTTTTGATTCAAGCCGAGCTTCTTGACGGTCGGCTCAGGAACCCGGACCTCCGCCGAAGGGCAGAATCTCGTTAAATGACCAACCCGATCTCGACCGGGAATTTTTTGGCTGTCAGGAACCCACGATAAAACTCGACCTTGTGTCACATGCAACCCTCGTGGGGTGGCTAGATACTGATTCAAGCCGAGCTTCTCGACTTGACGGTCGAACTCTCTGCCTCTGAGCAGAAAGGAACCCGGACGAGGTTCCGCCGAAGGGCAGAATCTCGTTCGGGGTGAATGACCTACCCGATCTCGTTTTTACCAGTTATACGGGCATTTTTTGGCTGAGCCTACGGGATCAGGAATCCCACGATAAAACTCGACCTTGTGTCACATGCAACCCTAGTGGGGGGTGGCTAGATACCGATTCAAGCCGAGCTTAATTCGCCCGGCCAATTTTTCGGCTGGGGTTTTTGACAAATATTGGATCGTTTCTTGGCCTATGGCTGAGATTCGATCAAGGCTTTGACTAGCTTGGACTGGCTCCGGCCTGGACCTGTTAGGACAAGTCATGACCAGCTTTGACTAGGCTCTGACCAGCTTGGACAAGCTATGACCAATTTTGACCAGTGGCCTTTGAGTGGAAACACTCGGGTCTCCCACGTTAATCGACCTTGTGTCACATCTTGATTTTGTGGGAATCAAGTAAATACCATTCAAGCCGAGCTTCTCGAATTGACGGTCGAACTTTCTGCCTCTGAGCAGAAAGGAACCCGGACGAGGTTCCGCCGAAGGGCAGAATCTCGTTCGGGGAGAAATGACCAACCCGATCTCGTTTATACGGGTTATACGGGCATTTTTTGGCTGAGCCTACGGGCTCGGGAAACCCACGATAAACTCGGCCTTGTGCCACATGCAACCCTCGTGGGGGTGGCTAGATACCGATTCAAGCCGAGCTTCTCGACTTGACGGTCGAACTTTCTGCCTCTGATCAGAAAGGAACCCGGACGAGGTTCCGCCGAAGAGCAGAATCTTGTTCGGGGAAAATGACCAACCCGATCTCGTTTATACGGGTTATACGGGCATTTTTTGGCCGAGCCTACGGGCTTGGGAAACCCACGATAAACTCGGCCTTGTGCCACATGCAACCCTCGTGTGGGGGTGGCTAGATACCGAATCAAGCCGAGAAGCTCGGCTTGATGGTCGAACTGTCTGTCTCTGAGCACAGAGGAACCCGGACGAGGCTCCGCCGAAGGGCAGAGTCTCGTTCGGGGAGGTTGACCAACCCGATCCCGTTTATACGGGTTCTACGGGCATTTTTTTTGGCCGAGCCTACGGGCTCGGGAAACTCACGTTAAACTCGGCCTTGTGCCATATACAACCCTCGTGGGGATGGGCGGCTAGATACCGAATCGAGTCGAGCCGATAGTAGTTCACTCCAAACCAGACTGAGAGTCATACTAACACCTTCCACACCTTGTATTATTATTTCGTGTAATATACCTTCGTTATTTCTACTCTTGTGTTCGTGTTGTTCTTCCTTGGTCCTAAACTGGACCATAACCATAGTGTTTTTGTTTGGGGTTTTACTATTTGCTAATAGCTGAGACCCTATCAGGCGCTACCACCCCGGCTCAGGGTGGGCCTGGGAACAACAGCAATTAAAAGGTGCTTCCAAGTACCTGTAAACCTCCAATCTCCCAATCAGAGGCCTTGCTGCCGGGTGCAGTTTATCGGCATAAATTGATTATGGAAATGATGTGAAGGAACCATTAAAAAAAAATCTCTTACAACCTATTTACATTTTGTGGGTTATTCAAAGCCAGAAAATATTTTTAGACTGTAAAAATTTCTTTGAGATAATAATGATTTACAGATATAAGGTACTACTAATGAACCAATAAGTAGCGGGGTGAAGGTTATCGATCTCGTACGCGTTGCCACATGATTTACGCTTATCGTCCCTTATTCGTTGCTATAATGACTAAAAGGTTGATCGCCAACCAAAGGTGGATGTTAATAGATTTCTAGTGGAAGAGAAAAATCCTTCTTTTTCATTTCAGACCGGCATCTAAATCCAGGATTATTAACAAAATTGTAAACACTTCGGTTTTCCTTGTGAATCATTTTAAATTTCCATCATCAATTTACCATTTGTGAGCTCTGGTGTTATTAAACAGTTCATTATATTCACCTTACGAACTTATAACCAATTTTACCTTTTGCAGTTCCGGGATTTATTAAACAGGTTTTTTTTATATCCGCCTTATGAACTTACAACCCATTTTATCTTTTGCAATTTCTGGGGTTATGAAACAGTTTTTTTTTTTTATATTCGCCTTATGATCTTACAACCCATTTTACTTTTTGCAAACTCTGGAGTTATTAAACAGTTCTATATATTCGCCTTACGATCATACAACCCATTTTACCTTTTGCAAGCGTTGGGATTATTAAACAGATCTATATATTTGCCTTACGATCTGACCATCCATTTTACCTTTTCAACTTTCTGGAGTTATTAAACAGTTGTTTATATTCGCCTTATGATCTTACAATCGATATTTTGCAAACAGTGGTGTAATTAAACAATTCTTTATGTTCACCTTACGAACTTGAAACTCACTTCAATTTTTCATGTTCTGGTGTTAGTGTTTATATTCATCATTAAATTCTCACGACCTTACGGCACGTTTTGAATAATCTTGAAACTCTAAACACGGCTGCTGTTAATTCTAAACCTCTAAATTCGGAACGAATTCCATGAAATAGCTGCCATTTATTTACATCTGCGCAAAACGAACCGGGTTTCATTCTAACTGCGCAGATAGATGCTGTCATCATCCAGAAAAAAATCTTCAGTTTCCAATAAGTATTTACTTTATATATTGATGAAACATGAAGTGGCTAATAATGTGGGACGCAGTGTAATCGATAGAAAATATATTGCAAGGTTGGTGGACAGGTAGTTAGACAGACAGATCAATAGTAAGATAAGTTTGCCGATCGATAATAGGTAAAAAAAAAGTGTATAGCGCGATCAAATAGGAGATAGTTACAACGATGAATGGATAAAAATATAAAGAAAAAATAATGAATTATTTTATCTGAATAAACGCTATTACTAGGAATCACTAAGATCCTGAAAGAGCCATTTTTATTTTCTTTCAACAACAGAAAATATGCGCTTTAGTTTAACAACTGCAGTCCTTTCGACGATACTGGTGTTTGGTTGGGATTGTAGAAGAAAAACATTTCCAGTCTGTATCTCGAATATATCATAAAAAATTACAGCGTTAATACTACATATTTTCGAAAAACATTGGTGTTATTATTCAGCGTATTTTTGATAGGAATTCCGACGAGACTCAGACCTTAAGATTATAATCCATGATATATTACTTTTGTTTCAAAAGGTTAATTGAATATCTGCTTATTTACAGGCAAATATGAAGTCCATGCACTCAAATTCGTAAACAAACCGGCAATAAATTAAGTCCGATTTGAACTGGCCAGGCAGCAACTGACAAATACAGCCTTGATAACCTCCATCCAATTCGATCTACTAAAATGAATAAATTGTCGCTACATGCACAAATTTTATGACCAAATTACAAATATATGTCCGTAGAAAACAATATGGACTAATAAAAACAAGCGTGTAAACATTGTTGAAAGAAATATTGGTATATTAATATTGATTTAATCGTTAAATAGTTTAATAGCAGAAAACGTACGCTTCTTCCTTCATGTATTTTTCCCATTCACGGTATGTGCGATGATGACTCTCCCGAAATTCCTAACCTTTGTAGATGTTAGCAATGTTTGATTTTATACTATTCTTCTCTCTCCCTGTTCTGCCATAAATTTGCAAAAGCTTGATTAGTCGATGTTTTCCCCTACCACTATTTCTTTCAATAGGTTCTGTGAGTGTCAGCTTCTCCAAACCCACTTTCCTTCTTAATGTGATAGAACTCTGAACTTTGAATTCGAAACGCGTCCTTGGTAAGACGATAAACTACATCTGGCAGCAAGGCCTCTGATCAGGAGTTTGGAGGTTTGTTGTTTGTCTGCTGTTGTTCCCCGGGGTGGTAGCACCTGTTAGGTTCCCAGCTGATGGTAACTAGTAAACGCTCCAAACAAAAATTGGTCGAATGTAGTTAGACGCACCCCCGCTAAAAACTTAATTCGAGTGCATTCATGTGACAGTATTAATTTAAACAAGGTATAGTATTATATTTAAAATGTGTATTGCAATGATATATGTTTAAAAAAAAGGGTCTATATTCTCCGCAAAATAATTAGCTTTGAATTTAAAAAAAAAATCTCTATAAATTTCCTCATCCAGGTTTGACCATTTCATATCGCCTTTTGAACCATGACTTCTCTTTAGGCGTTTCTTGATTCTGGCCCAGTATGCTTCTACATGATGATTAAAGGCCCTCGTCACTGGGTCAAGAAAATTCTGATTATAGTTGGCAATTAAATGCCAAAATCCAAATGCAGCTAGCCCATTGTAAGAGGCACAGCGGTTGCTATGAATGACGAGACAGGGTGCGTCTAAAAATATTTCGCCTAAAAATGAAAACTACATTTTTATAACAAAATGAGCAACAATTGATTTTTATAGCAAAATGACAATCAACGCAACACTTCATTCTTCTTTTTATGTGCCATGTCCTTTCTGCACGTAGGCGATCATGGCTCTCCACCTCTCTCTATCTCTTTCAGCTCTCAACAAGTTCCTTCCCTCTTCTTCCTCCCACCCCCTCGACCACGTTCTGTCATCCATACGCTTAAGTCCGCCAGGTATGCCACGCGTTGTTTTCCCCTCCTCTCTTCTGTTAGACCCTTCGCGTTGTTTTCCCTTCTTCCCTTCGATTCGACCCGAGAGTATCAGATTCACCAGGCCCTCCTTTCTCATTACGTGTCTCAGAAATTTCAGCTGCCTCTTCCTGATGTTAAGTATAAGCCTCCTCTTTGTTTGCAACCTCTCTAAGTTCTCATCGTTGCTCACACGCTCGGTTCATGATATCCTTATCATCCTTCTGTAGAACCACATCTCTGTCGCCTCGAGTCTCTTCTTCCTCTTTGAAGAAATCGTCCAACATTCGCCGCCGCGAAGAAGGACAGAGTGTCACGTAACAGTTCAATATTCTTTTCTTTGTTATCAAATATATCCTCCTGTCTCGCAGTACTCTGCCCAACTTTTGGAATGTATCCTTATCTTAATACACCTACAGATCTTAGTGTCGCACTTATTGTACTCTGTCAAGACGTTTGCCAGATATTTAAACTTCCGCGTCTTCTTGATTCTAGTGTTCCCGACCTTCAGATAGCATTTAGTCATCTTAGTGACTACTATACACTCCGTTTTCTTGTAGTTTATGCTTAGTCCCTTCTTACTAAAAAATATAAAAATACATTTTTATACTAAAATTACAAAGAATAGATTTTATGATCTACTAACTGTATATCTAACAAATTTACGTTTTCTCTTAAAGCATACAATTATGTAGAAACTATCTATTTTTCGGCATTAAATTAACCATACAGGTTGATATGCCGCTAAATAAAAACCAACCACTTTCTTATGATCTACAAAAATTCCTTTCTGAGTCCCTTTTTCCGAGAGCTTCCTCATTGATCACATACACCGTTCATAGTATTCTTAGCGTGTTTCGCTATCAAAACATATCTGTTGGCATAAGTCAGGAGAATTGTATAGCATTTAGTGCTCTATAAGAGGACCGATATTACAAATCATTTAGTCCCAATGTTATCTCCATCTAAACAATTTTTTTGTTCCTTAATTCTTAAATTCCTTAATTCTTATGTTCCTTAATTCTTAAATTCCTTAATTCTTATGTCCTTAATTCTTAAATTCCTTAATTCTTACGTTCCTTAATTCTTAAATTCCTTAATTCTTATGTTCCTTAATTCTTTAGTATAGTTCGCTACACAAATCCGTCCTCGGATTTTGGTGTGATATTTTCCGTCAACTATGGAAATACCACCCAGAAATGTTAAATTATTCCAATTGACGCGAATCTATGACTCATTCGCGTTTAAATATATATGACAATACAGAATACTGATATATACAGGATGAGGCAAATGTCGTGCAACATAGGGATTAATAGATAGGTCGAAAAGGTCCAATTTACTGAGAGATTTCCAGAGCTCGCACCATTTAATTTTTTTCTGTGGCACCATTTGAAATCAGTTGTTTATCAGATGCGCCCAAGAAATATTCAAGAACTTAAAGAATGAATGAAATATGAATGCAATATAGGAAACTCTCCGACATGTTAATGAAGTATGCAGGCACAGAATTGAAATGCGTTTTGAAAAATAAGGAGGACAATTAAATAA